CAGGTGGGACGAGTCACTTAATTTGAGGGGTGACAGGTGGGATGAACCATTTCATTTGAGGGGTGACATGCATGTTGCTACAAACAAATTTAAATCTTATGAATAGATTGCAAGATTGTAAATTTATTCTTTATGATAAAATTTAGATATTCTTTCAGCGGTTTAAACCATTAATGTCCAATTCTATATTCACAAAATACTGTGCATAATTACAAAGCTTTAAACCATTTCTATTTTAAATATCACCAGGTTTCATAAAAAAAACATCATTCCCAAAAGAAAATTACACAATCTTTCCAGATTGAACTTGAAACAGTTACCACATCTATGTAATCTTTCCCCTTTCCCAATTTAATATTGCTGTGCTGTGTATTTTATATTAATATGAAAAAATAACGAGGAAATATAGAAATATTTATTCGGATTTGATATAAGAGATACATGAAATTGAGCATGATATATGTCAACCAAAGACCTTGATGTTTGCAGGCCCATGTTGCACAGTTTCTCCGTGGGCTTCTGAAATGACAAAATAATGCATAGAGACATTATTTTGATTCAACTGACAGACTGAGATCATTTTGGCTTATTCTAGAGAAGCACAAAACATCTAATTTGAACATTTTCTTTTAAGAACGTATGAAATAAATTACACATAACTTGGATGAAAGTAAAATCAAGTTTTTAATATAGTAGTTGGTCGTATAATGGAGGGACATAATACGGCACACTGGAGACGGTAGTGAACCTGCGTAAAGCTTTCATCTGTAAACCATCGCTTTATTAGCAATTAACATGTGTGTGAACGTGCATTGTATTATATTAAGAACACTTACCTTACAAAAAGATTTTTGAAAGCATGTCAATCTTTAAGCATAAATAGATTGCCCAAGTGTAATCTGAAAAAAGTAAGAGAACTTTAATCGCTATGTGGATCCTTATTTTTGTAGTAATAATAATAATGATAAAATGATGTATTTTAAAAATTGCTATTTCTTCCCAGGTGAAATGATCAATCCATTTCATTACATAAATATAATCCAAAAGAAATCGCTGAAAATCATCGTAATCGTCTTCAAAGGCGACATTTGAAATGTTAATTAAATTTGACTTGATGTACACCTTTATAGGGCAGACTTCTCTTTATATCCATATCTCAGAACTATGACAAGTAATATTGCCTAAACGAATAGGTCTTTTTCTGCAGTTATGTTTATACTTACACGAAAACATTTTAAATTAAGTCCCAAATACCCTTTTAATTGCCAGGGGTCATACAAAAAAAATTCACACGTGCAAAACTAAATAAGCCTATAGCTAGTTTGAAAGATTTCAAGCAAACATATTGTTTCATCAATGGTCAGCTGATAGCACCTTTCTCCTGTACGTTTGTTGTCCCAAAGCATTGTTACCAGCATACAGTATTCTGACATTGTGAGTGACATACAAGTAACAAGTATGGACATAATATTACAACAATTCGTGCTGCTAATGTCTACAGTAAATTTTCTCTCATTCGGTTGCACTTGTGTGTTATTGAGGGAGGTTATTAAGTAGTGCTGCTTACCTGTAACAGGCCGATAGCTCTGGGTTGAAATGGCTTTATTATCATACAAATATCTGCAAGAGCAATATAAACAAATTAATTTGAAACGATGACATGAACAAAATTTACACAAAGTAAGACGAAAGACATGGAAGACAGAACAAAGAAAGAAAAATATAAGAGTTTAATATAACAAACAATGCCAAAAACAACATAAAAAATAAATATATAAATTTAGGAATGTATTAATTTTTAACTGTGGATTCGTTGGTCCTTACTTTGATATAGTTACATTCACCTGCAAGAGCACTAGAACAACTATTTCAACTATTCCAGCCTGCAACTCCGTCTGACTTTCAGGTGCAAATCAAAATGTATGGGGCGCGGTCTTCAAACCCGTGACCTCCACGTACACAAACGAACATTCACGACACACATCGAACACAATCACAACAAACACAACATATGAAGGGCTCAAACCTTACATACCATAAACTTGCTTCTACGTCTTATAAAAGCTTAAACTTGTGAATTCACCACACGTAATGTTGCGTCTTCCCTCAGCTGTGCCCAACTGCAGAGTGAGTATTCAGCTCGCACCACGACGGGCAACTTATTGTTATGCAAATTAGAACAGATTTGGCCCATTTTGGGTGAGAGGTTTTGGCTAAAACTGCTCACAAATGTTCGCTGTCAAAATATAAACAGTACATTTTTGATACAACTGAAGTCCACTTGATGTTAAAATATAAGTACAAAAACTATATTTTAAGAAAAAATCGTTTTTATGACTCTGTCTATATAACGATGAGGGCGAAACAACACATATGGCCACTAATGGCAATACTGATACTCTGGATATGGCTTTTTTTTTTTTTTCACGCCTCAGCTTTACTCGAAAATAGCGGACTATTATGCTGGTAAAGACGTCGGAAGCGACCATCTACCTTTACACGTAAAAATTATACGAAATAACCGAATAGCAAGAGCACCAACTGTCTTACGACGGAACACAAGAAAAATAAACCTTGTTTAACCATCTAATTACTAACAATCTAATTAGCAACGCAGTCACACCAACCACCAATGGAATAGACGAAGCTTGTGAGAATGTGACCGAAACACTAGTAGATGCATTAGAAACCGCATGCCCAAAAATAATAGTACGAGAAAAGAAAATTAAGACGTCTTGTTCAAAAGAAAGAAGGTCCTTCTTATAAATTCATGTACTGAGTATAACTAAATGACAAAACGGGTCAAAGAAGCCATCAAAAAAGAAAAACAAAAAGGTTTGGAAACCGCTACCTCCATACTAAACGAAAGAAAAATGGGGCATGTTTAAAAGGCTAACTAGCACCGGCAAAGCAAAAGAAACATCCGAAAAGCCTGTACTCAAAGAAAATGGGCAACTTACAACAAACGATGCGGATAAAGCAAATGCATTTGCAAATACCCTTGGCAAGATACATAATTCCCACGAAGGGGGTCATATTTGGTACTTTCAAAGCGGCGGTGGAAAACTACGTCGAAAAACAAACAAACAAACAAACACAAATTCGATCCCTTATCCAGTCCGACACTGGAAGAAGGGGACAATCGAAAGATTTTAGACAAAATCACAATAGATGAACTTAACTA